CAGGGTGCTTGAACTTTCAACGTTGAAGGAGCGAGATAAAGTGCTACTTGGAACAGGTGAGCTGTGATACTAAGCAGTTTGATAATGGCTAATGTTTGATCTTCTCGATTTCAGAAACGATTCCACGTTCTGTGCTGTTGGTGACCATGCAGGATGTCAGTACGCACTAGCTGCACTTGGTGAGGCAACCATCAAATCATGCACCGTCACCTGCAATAAGCTCGCTGAAATGTGATGTGTAGGCGACGGTCAGCTCTTCACATTTATTGTCGATCCGGAAACAGGTTGTTTGAGGGATCGCAAGAAAATCTCACTCGGCAGTCAGCCTATTACTTTAAGCCAATTCCAATCCAAAGGACAGAGGCACGTGTTTGCCGCGTCTGACAGGCCTACGGTGATCCACACCAGCAACGGGAAACTGATATATTCGAATGTGAACCTAAAAGTATGCGAGCACCGTCTCCCAAATATGTGCGGCTAACATGCTAACGGGATACTACATGTAGGAAGTTACTCATATGTGCCCATTCAACTATGAGGATGAGGCTCTTGCTTTAGTTACTGAGGGATCTTTGAAAGTTGGGACAGTGGAAGCTATTGAGAAGCTTCACATCAAGAAGATACCTCTTGGGGAGACGGCGCGTCGTATTACGCATCAAGAAAAAAGTGGGACGTTTGGTGTTCTCACCTTACGAATAGTCCAGAATGAGGAAACAGGGGATGAGGAAGAAACAGGATATTTGAAGCTTTTGGATGACCAGTCTTTTGAAGGTACGAGTATTGGATGGTTCCGACTAATACTATTAATTTTTGTCTTCTGAAATGTGCTTGCCAGTGTTGGACCAATTTGCCATGGACACGTTCGAGAATGTCCAGTCGATTGTATCCACGGAGTTCACTGGCGACCAGAAAACGTACTACTGTGTGGGAACCGCGTATGTACTTCCGCAGGAGGACGAGCCGTCTAAAGGAAGGATCTTGGTTTTTGACGTGACGGAAGAAAGACGACTCAGACTAGTTCATGAGCAAGAAACTCGTGGTTGCGTTTACTGCATGGCGTCTCTAGGAGGAAAGTTACTGGCGGGTATAAATAGTAAGGTCAGCATCCCTTCCTGTGCATCACTGGAGTTTAGAGTGATCGCAAACGCTTTACACATTCAATCCCCCATCAGGCTCAATTGTTCAAATGGGAGGTAGCTGATGACGGTATAACCATGTCCTTAGTGGAACGAGCCACACATCACGGACACATTCTTGTATTGACGATCGCCGTGCGAGGGGACTTTGTGCTTATCGGTGATCTAATGAAATCGGTATCCGTCCTCTCCTACAATGCAGGGGATGACTCTTTGGAGCTGATAGCCCGGGACCCGGACGCGAATTGGATGACGGCGGTCGAAGCGCTGGACGATGATGTGTATATAGGAGCAGAGGATCATAGTAACCTATTTGCCCTCAGAAGACGAAGTGAGGCGCAGGTGGAGGAGGATCGGCGACGATTAGAAAGTTTTGGCTGGTTTCATTTGGGAGAACAAGTAAACCGGCTGAGGCATGGTAAGATGGAATTCAGCGTCAAACGGACACCCGGACACCCGCTTATTCATTTACTGTTGCTTGTGAACACAGGCTCGCTGGTTATGAGCTTGCCTGATAATGAAGCTGTTGCTACCCCTGTACTTTTATATTGCACGGTGAATGGAGGTATCGGCGTCGTGGCGACCTTGGACGACAGCACTTTCCGCCTGTTATTGGATGTACAAGACAATTTGCGCCGAATTGTGAAAGGAGTTGGGGGCCTGGCCTATACAGAGTGGGTATCGGAAGTTCGGGGACAGTCTGCATCAAGCTTTACAATTTCTCATGAAACAACATACGGAACTTTATTTATAGGTGGCGGCGGTTTGAAAACCGACGGCGAACTATGAACGCCGAAAGCTTTTTGGATGGTGACTTGATCGAATCATATCTTGATTTGACGAGAGAGCAGCAGCAAGCAGTGGTGGATGGAATGCGACTGCCGAGAGACGGTCATCGCGACGGTCATGGAATGAAGAAGCTAGACATCAAGGTCGAGGAACTGACTCGTATGGTCGAAGAACTGACCCGTATACATTAAAACAGTTCTTATCAATTTGGTTTTATGCACAACTCGGGATTCCAGTTGGGAGCGTGGGTTACGTGATGTGGAGATTCTTGTGCCATGTTCAGGATGGTAGCGCGGCTGCCGATGGGGAGCCGAGACCAGTGACAGAAAGCATCGTTGCGAAAATGATGGGACAAGCTACTCACCCACATAATATTTCTTCGACCACTTTTGAGCTCGCACATGTCTTCCAGCCTACCCTGTTTTGTTTATATGCAACGTTTGATTCGGCTTTATTCCTCACATTCCTGAGGCTTCAAGGATGGGACCAACAACCTCCAGTTCTGGTCTGAGAAGTACAGTTCTAATGACTGTCCCAAGTACGGTGGGCAAACTTGTGGGACATCTGAAAACTAATTTATTGCAACATCATATATACAGATTCAAATACATTGAATGGCAAACTTGCTTTGGATTATACTACTATAAACACTTGTACACCTCGTGATCCACTATTTCCTTTCACCCCCAGAATATGCAGGTTCGGGCATTCCAAAAGAAGGAACTTCGCCCTTCTGGTCTCTTGAGGTTGCTCCCTGCGCCGGTGGTGGACCCTGAGGAGGGTAAACGTAGTAATTCGGAGGCGGCATGGCGGTTTGACCGTAGGTAAGAACGGAGCCTGGGGGTAAACCCATTGCAGCCAGCTGTTGATCGTACGCCCGTCGTTGCTTCTGGCGTCTCCAAAAGATTACGAAAAATGCGATAATAGATAGAACGAACACCGCCAAGAGAATCGAGCGGACAATAATGTTGAAGGTTCGCTGCTGGTCCGTTACGTTGGGGCGTAAGACGACGACTTGTTCGCCCTGTGCCAGCACTACCCCGCTAAGGAGGGGGAGTATCTGCAACTGGAGCGAGATGCGATTCATTTTCTCGTTTCGTTGAGGTCTTTGAAGAGGATGTGTTGTTGGATGGTCGACAGCAGATGGTGCGGAGGTGGCAGCTTAAAAGTGTACAGAGATCTCACCGCCACCTCGTCTGGCTGCCACTCTCAAAAATTCCAATTGCCCCTCCGCCTTGTTGTCTCAAGAAGGTCCATTTGCTTGAAACAAGTCAAATTAAATTACATAACGGCCGATCAAGCATTGGTAAGCATTATATCCGGATATAAGTATGAAATCATTATGGTTTGAAATGGTTGAAATTCACTGATATGTGTCATGGCTATGAACTGGTGTTGCTTCCAATTTCGTCTTTGATTACAGAAAGGACACAGTATCTTCGTTGTCCCTTACTCCACAACAGGTCTTAATGAGTTGTAATGCTCTCCGAGTCCATAAGCATGTCTATGATACCTAAAACAGACAATCCATCATGTTAAAGGGCGAAACTGCCTGGCACCCACTCCGAAAGCATGATTACTTACGATAACATTAACGGCTCTCCAGGAAAATCTTCTCCTATTTTTATCAAAGGAGATCCCATTTGAATTATCTGCAGATGGCGTCGGAGGCCTCGAGATAGTGCTTGTAACTTGGTGATGAAAGGATTAGACGGGCCATTCAACTGTGTCATTGTCAATTCCTGCATACCTCCAGCTGGCCTCCCCAAACTGCCGTATTTTCTACTTCGTCACAGTATTTGTCATATTCTTCTGCTCATCCGGGTCAGTGTCCGCGGTAGTACAAGTTGTCATTAATATGAAAAGCATACCTGGAGTATATGGGTTTCCATCCTGGTTTACAAGAAAAGGCACAAAATCCTCAGGATGTTCTCTGAGATAGTTCGCTGCAATGCTTCGTAGGTCTTTATACGACTGCATGCAAGATAATTCTTGTAAGCTTCAATTTTGAATATGAGGAGTGCATTCAGACGAGGTTACCATTGGTTCGCCTTTTCCACGGAAAGATATCTGATCTGCAATGGCGTTGTACATGCTGGGACATAATCACGATAAGCCAGAAAGCTCATTGAGCCAATGTCTTAATAGACATACCAGTGGCCATCTGGAGTGATCTGAGACGGCATTACTTTTCACCTTAGAAATATCTTACGAATGGACAGCCGCAGGAATACTTGCCTGCTTTACTGAGAGACCTAGCGGCAAAATAAGGCTCGCAATGGCCTCATCCTCGATCTCTTTGTGATTTACCATATCTGCAGCCTCATCCGCTGCCTGACGCCGCATTTCTTCAAACTCTGCTGCTTTCCGTTGCTACAACGATGACATCATGAGGGAACTGTAATGTTAGGTTTTCCTCATACTATGTGCGGCCAGCGCACCTTGCGTAATTTGGCTTTATTTGGCTTCCGGGCCTTGTCTTGAACGGCACTTGACGATTCACTGGCCATCGATGAACCATCCGGAGAGTTTATTGCTTCTACAACTCCCACATTCTGCCAAAATACTATTTGAATTCGAATGTCTCAAACGAATGCGTATCCCGACCAATGCTCACATTTTGTGTTTGGTCTTCGTCTGGCCCTGTAACTTTGCTTTTGGCATCGGCTCGTTCCCGCTCGTGCCTTTCACTTAAATCTTTCTCCAGCTGAGCTATCTGCGCCTGGATCTCCTTTTTCTGTAGTTTATTAAAAAGCACAAATGTCATAATGAGATTAGCACCGGAGGAAGTAGCTCATTGCGTGGTTGAAGATGTGACCTTTTGTTTATTTCCTCCAACAGTCTTTTTAAGGGCGGTGATTCTACCAGTGAGTTCCTTGGCCTCACGGCGCTGGCGAGAAAGAACGTCTTCCAAAGATTCATTACGTGCCACTGGTGATGGGTCTGTGGTAGACATGGCTGTTTTGAACTATGCTCTGCACACACGGCGATCAAAACAGCTACATCACGTGTGGACCCACTGTGACGCTGGCGCGCAATTTGCCCAGTTGCGACGCAGAACAAGTTGTTCAAAAGTTGTGGCGTTCTGTTGTGGAGGGTTCGTACGATCACCCCCACAATCTATTCATCCGCCTCACAGCATAAAAGGAGCTTCATTGGGCCCTTGTACTGTCCTAAACTTAGGAAATAAATGGCATTCACGACACGACTCTTTAGGCCGGCTTTGGCTACAGGTGAGTGCGCGCTATATGTCCTAAACGCAGCCAGTTAGGACATTGTGCTGAAATGAGAGATATTTGTAGGCTGCAAAACAACCTCTCGCGCTTTCGCCACAGGCACAAGTAAACCGAGTATGTCTGCCCAACTGTGGGTGTAGAGATAGCAGAGCACAGGTTTAACAAGTCGCTGGTTATAGAGTTCGACTGGACCGATGCGTTCGACTTGAACTCCCAGTTAACGGAGGAGGAACGTCTCGTAAGGTGTGTTAATTTTGGCACCCTCCTAAGGATTCCATAGCTTTGCATCGGAACGCCGAATTTATGATCTTCTAGGGACTCGGCACGAGACTACTCGCAAACGAAACTCCTTCCCAGAGTCATCGAAGCGACAAGGAACGAAAGTACGACCGTGACCTCTTGTTTTGCCCCTTTCGTCCCTTCAGCTGAGGACAATCATTTTCCATCTTCTGGCAGAATTCGACCGCAACATCATGTACGAGCTGGGAGAGCTTGGAATGCTGGGGTCAACGATTAATGGATACGGATGTGCAGGAGTTTCCTCTGTCGCCTATGGCCTGATTGCTCGGGAGGTTGAAAGGTTAGCCAACTTCTGCTCCCGGCCTCTACAGCTGGTGCGCTTATTGGTTTACTTTTTGTCCAAGAGTTGACTCGGGGTACCGTTCAGCAATGAGTGTACAATCATCTCTTGTAATGCATCCCATACATGCGTACGGAACAGAAGCGCAACGCGAAAGATACTTGCCGAAGCTCGGTGAGTTTACGAAGGGGTCGCTCAGGAGCCCAGCTCATTACTGATGCTTAAAATGATTAGCCACCGGCGAACTTGTTGGGTGCTTTGGGCTGACTGAACCAAACCACGGTTCTGATCCCGGGTCTATGGAGACAGTGGCAAAGAAAGTCGATGGCGGATATGTTTTGAATGGATCCAAGACATGGATCACTAACTCACCTATCGCCGACGTATTTGTTGTTTGGGCCAAATCAGCTGAAGATGGGCAGATTCGTGGTTTTATTCTGGAAAAGGTAATCAACGACTCGCCATTGGTTGTCTGAAAGGTCCAAGACTAAAGCCCGCGTAACTAAACGTCACAAGGGAATGAAAGGCCTGTCGGCTCCAGCCATTAAAGGCAAGTTTTCCCTACGTGCGTCCATCACCGGCATGATTATGATGGACGACGTGGAAGTTCCGGACGGCAACTTGTTGCCCAATGTCGCCGGACTTAAGGTATCGTATTCATATGCCCTTTGTCTGTCTCGCATGGAATTCTATTCAACGCATGGAGCAGGGACCTTTTGGCTGCCTGAACAATGCCCGATATGGAATCTCTTGGGGTGCACTTGGAGCAGCAGAAGCATGCGTCAAGCAAGCTGTCGATTATACTTCGGAACGGTACGCAGTGACCCCTCTCAATCTTCTCTGGATATGCCAATAACTAAAATTTTGCTTCTTGTAGGAAACAGTTTGGAACTCCTCTATCGTCTTTCCAGTTGATCCAAAAGAAGCTTGCAGACGCCCTGACAGAAATTAGTATCGGCCTACAGGCTTGTTTGCGAGTTGGGCGGTTGAAGGATGAGGGCAAGCTGGCCCCTGAGATGGTTAGCATCGTCAAGCGGAATAGTTGTGGCAAGGCGTTAGATATTGCAAGAACTTGTAGAGACATGCTAGGAGGTACTGGTATGCGGTGGTTTGAACAGCATGTGCGCGAAATTAACTGTTTGTTTTGATAGGCAACGGGATTTCTGACGAGTATCACATTATCCGTCATGTGATGAATCTAGAGGCCGTCAACACTTATGAGGGTACCCATGACGTTCACGCTTTGATTCTTGGTAGGGCGATAACAGGTATACCCGCCTTTTACACATCGAAGCGCGACTAGGATTAGAAATAGTAGACGTACTAGAGTTTGCATGACTTGGAGCGTTTAGTATGAAGAGTAGGATAAGAAATGTTGGCACTAGTTCTCCAGCTCACGGCAACGTGCACAATACAATCACATCCGACCCACAGGTTACCTCGCCAGCATCCTCTCGTCATTACCCTCAAAACTACATTATTGTCCTACCGCTCCAGTCTTCCATGTTAATCAGGACAGCGTAACGGCCTTATTCGAGGCTGGCCGATATGACTGTGAAGGAACGAAGACATGGCGAACCGTTTGCACTTGAATTGAATGAATGCATTGAAACCACACTTGGATAATTGGTTACATCGCTTCAGGTCGTAGCTTGCAGGCTTCGTGCGAACTATTGAAAATGTAGCATCCCGTTTCTTATCCCAAAGCATGACCTCGTGTGTCCCACAGGAACTTTTGGCCATTGGAACATTAAGATTTATTTTAAGCGAGGCCTTTGCTCATCTTCATGCTATCAATACGATAAAGACAGAGCAGCTGGCACCTCAAACGTGGATAACATGGCCGGCACGTTCGAAACCCAGTCTTCCTAAAGGTGACCCGACGTTGATCGAGGCCTTGCAATACGCTTGTGACTGTCATGTAGCAGCCGCAGAGTTCTGGTGTGCAACGATAGTTGGTCGGCAAACTTCACATAGTTCTGTGATCTCGGGGAACGGGTTGGTGGTGCCATTCGACATGAACCTCAAAACGGAGGAAACCGAAGAGCTCATTATAGATGAGGACGGCGAATCAGCTAGCCCAATGGTTGATGGTCTGAAAGCACAAGAGACAATGATTGTGCGATTATACCTGGTTCCTGAAGACATCGAGGGTCGTCGCACGATTCGGTCGCTACCATCAGGGCGAGCGCGCACTTGCCGGAAACTGGTTTACCGGCTACTGCGTGCAGTTAATCCAAGCCCAAAAAGGTGGCATTTAGCCGATGACAGTGTGGGCATGTATGACGAGGCTGGATTGTACGCATACAAGGTGTGTTTTCTGCATGACTTGCACCACTCCTTCCCTGTCACGAAGCTGATCAATGTCTCCTCGTAGCCAGTAAACGTCGGGCTTGCTCAGTTGTATCAATCAATGCCATCTCCTGTGCCATTTGTCTTGGAGAATAGAGCAAACTCCGCTGATGCTTGGCTTGTGCATCAATCTCAGTTACTCGCCGCCCCTAACGGCATGAAGACTCACCTATTTACATACCAAAAGAATACCCTTTGGAAATTATTGCAACGGGAGATAATCCCTCAGAGGGTCCTTGATCCCGATATGCTGGAGTGTCGAACTGCTGATGAGGGCCGGCGATATTGGTTGCGTATAAGTACGGGTCAAGTCTATAAACAACCTACCTATTATGAAGAAGCCAGAGGTGGAATAATTTGCGAGGACATGGGAACAGGTAGTAGTCATCTCAACTTTTAGATACTTTGGAATTGGTCCTCACAAGAAGCCTGTTTTAGGCAAAACATGTATCTGTATCGCTCTAATACTTCACACCCGTCATCAAATAAGTGAACCTCCGATTGACTGCTTGGGAGGAACTGTGCGGACAGATCTAAACCGTCATTGGCTCCACCTTGTCGATGGGGATAGTTCCGATCTATCAAAAGAGGCAATGCCACCCTCCTTAAAGCAATTGGCGGTCGTGAATATTATAAAACATCGTACACCATTTCGCCACAAGAAAAACCGGCTCCCGGATCCGCTATACAAACTTTTGAGATCTTCTCCTCCGTATTATCTCAAACAAGCTCGCCAAAGTGTACGCATCAGCCGTAGCGCGGCGGAACCGCAGCCACCTGTTAAGATCTATCTGTCCTCGAGCACGCTAGTTGTAGTTCCTGATACACTCGTTGATCAATGGCGCATGGAGCTGAATAAGGTACTTGGCGGCTAGAGTGGACTCTTCCCACTAGAACTGCTCCTAACTGACGTGCAGCACGTGGAAGACAGAGTGATCAAGCTCTTGGTATTGAAAGATAAAGATGACACCATACCATCTGCGGTGGAGCTGGGGAAGTACGATGTAAGTGAAGAGGAAGACGCAGTGGGCGCTTATTGATATTGTAATTGATGAGGCTGGTGAAGATCGTTCTCATGTCGCATCCTCGGTTCGGATTGGAATATCACCGAGGCGGGGGCTTTGAATTGACAAGTGGTTAGCACGAATTCAGCGCACTATCAAGAGAATTGGCCTTAAAGCAGTCTTTAGATACACGATACCGATCACCTTTACTTGAGGTGCGATGGCTGCGGTTACTTGTCGATGAGGGGCATAGTATGGCGAGGAGGAAAGAAGGCTCACCCCAAAGCGCACTGGCAGCGAATTTGGCGGCGGATAGGCGCTGGGTTTGCACGGGCACTCCCATGCCCAATGTTTTGCACAGCAATTCCGACGAAGATGAGAAAGATCTTCAGAAGCTCGGATCCTTATTATCAGAGTTCCTGATGGTCGAACCGTATGCGTCGGCTAAAGGTTGAGCTAAGTGGGTTTACCTGCGTCTGATACATGGCTAGCGGACTGACGTTCGGTCGCTTGTTAGATACATTTAGAACTGTGATCGCTAAACCTTTTTTGGAGAAGCAATTTCATGGATATGAAAAATTGAGAGATTTGATGCATAGAGTGATGGTGCGAAATCGCCAAGAGGATATCGAGCGGGACGTCAAGCGTGAGTACAAATCATGCAAAGAGGGAGGTTTTGGACCTCTGGAGTTGACGAGGCCCGTCTAGTTCCGGCTCTTCATGAAAGACTGGTGATGTTGGATTTCGGACGCTACCAACGAATTGTTCACAATTGCTTGCTCAGCTTTTTTGGAACCAATGCGATCCTCAGTCAGAGGGAACATCAAGTATGTCTCCATTGTGATGCAATAAGGATACCTTAATAATGATTCCCCTTTGTCAGGATTATTTTTTCCACCCTAGTCAAAAGAAGGCCTTGCGCGGTAAGTCTTTTCAGAGACAGTCACGCTCCGCAAGCTCCTGACTACTAACTCTTTTGCAGAGGCTGTGCAAAATCTCTTTTCGTCATGCTTCTGGTATGCGGTGTCCCATTTACCTGAAAGTATAGCCTCAACGGTTGAGAACGTTGAAGAAGGTTTGCGATTTGCTGAAGAACGAGGATATAGCGCTCAGGACGTCGCTCAACTGAGAGCTATCAAAGCTACTCTTCTTGATGCCTTGAATGACCATTCGTGGCTGCAGGTTGTGAAGAATCAAGAGGTGGTTTATGGCGTCAGTCATTGCCCGCCGACTCTGCAGACAAAGGCGGTTGTCGCATCAGTGAACTTGTCTTCGCACAACTGTTCACATGAGTATTTGATACATGCAAAGAATATCGAAGCCTTCCGGAAGAATGTTAAACTGGAGGGGGCCGATAGCAGCGAGCAGCTTTGCGAGGATGAGCCTTTATTGGAAGCGCCCAAACCGATATCTCCTGATTTCGAGGGTCCACAGTACATATCACCAGAACCGCATACTACCGCCGACGATGGAGTCGCCGTTCAAATACAATGTGATCGATCTGCTATCGTATCAACATCGAGTGTGAAGTTGACGTACTTGGCAGATCAGGTTGGTGGTTATTCACTGTAGACGTCCTTTCGTTACTAAGGTTACTGGCACTGCAGATTATAAAATATGCCCCCCATGAGAAAATCATTGTTTACGCTCAGGTATTAGGCATCATGTGAATTTGTTGGCTACGTAGTGTACCGCTTCTCATCATGGCCTCCCAATAGCTCAACAACGAAATATACTACATTCATGAACTTTGCCGGTTGGCAAGGATTCGATGTATTTTGTTTCATCGACAGCAGAGGGTGTCAGAACGCGCACATAGCGTCACAACTTTCAACACAAGCGATCATGCCCCAGGTGTGTTCCACCAGAGACAAATATGTTGGTGGGTCGAAAGCTGATCCCCAGCGGCTTCAGTCATTATCATGGATACCAGATTAGCGGCCTGGGGAATTGATTTATCATCGGCAGTAAGTAACCACGGGTCATCATTGGTCCTTCATGCATTCTGAATCGCCAATGCCCTTCGGCACTAGTCAAGAGTGTACTTCATCAGCCCAGGTAAATCTGCGGCAAATAATCAACGCCGGGCTATTCTTTTTGATTGATTGAAGGGCTTAGTTTGGCAGCACGACATGGAACGACAGGCGATCAAGCGGGCACATCGAATAGGATGCACACGTCCCGTGCACGTTGAAACCTTAGTAATCCGAGGAACTGTTGAAGAAGACATCGTGAGAAGGCGAGGTGAATTAGTGCATGCTACGCATCCAGCCAAAAGGTTGACAGACGATGGAAAGATGCGGGGCATTCTCAGCTCAGCACTCCTCATTCACTCTCCTGACAATGACGAGCCTGCGAAGAACTTTGCGCGGCTAGAAACGCCAATTATCTTGTTAGCAGGGAAATGTTCAGCAGCCGTTGATTATTACGCGCAAAAGGACACTCCCACGACCAGACTAAGCCAGGAAGATGACCAAAGATGCGACGCCCCGCGGAAACGTTATGACGGAGAGGAGGAGGCGCAACTGCATATCAAGCGGACGAAGCAAAATCCGATGGGATTTTCTGCCACCCATGTAAACCGTAGGGTGCAGTTTACATAATGCGCTAATATCAGGAAACCTGCCATAGCAGAAACTGTGAAGTCACATAGACATAGAAAAAGAACCAGAACAGGATCCAATTGGTGGTCCCACGGCTTGTCTGTCTAATGAGGCTGTTGGTACATATCAATATTTGAAAAAGATCTTCCACAAGATCCACTGGAAAGCTGGGGGTTGGGTTCGTCAAATCTTCAACGATTCATTTCAGTGGGCAGGCTCACCCCATAGATACGATTTTGTGCACAAAATTACAGCATTATAGAACGCGTTCCCTTTATGCTTCCAAGGTAAGTGCTACGCCAACCTTGTGCACATTCTCATGGAGACGGGTAGTGTCAAAAAGACCACCCAAGGAAAGCTTGATACCCTTGCGGAGGAGTTGAGTGTATCCAAGACCAAGCTGACCGCGATTGTCAATTTTCGCCTAATGACCACCAGCCGAATTAATCAGTAAAGACCACTAAATAGATTCTCAACCTGAGTCTGACCTTCAAAAATGCATCATTGTCGAGAACATATTTGGAACCGACTTCGATATGGACAGTGTTGTCAGCCGACTTCACCCAGGTAGCCTTCGCACCTGCCTCAACGTCTTGATTGACACGGTGGTAATAAGACGCAGAGTAAGTGCTCAGCGCGTTGGTCCTGCAACGGGCAGAATATTCAACCGACAGCCAACCCTCACTGGGGAAAAACACGCGAATAAACTCACGCGTGCAAAGCCAGGGAATACTCGCGGGCAAGATAGCCAAAAGCGAAATTGTACTTGGTCACCCGAGCATCGGAGACATCGTATGCAACTTCACCACCCGCAAGGAAGCCATCATTTCTACATATGTAACTTTAGAACATTTTCAAATAGTCAAAGGTGGTGTCAGCCACGGTATCCTACCCAACGACAGCATCTCCATGAAGGGTCGGCCCTTTGAAAAGGTCCACAGATGAGCGGGTGAAGAGATAGTCCTGCTTATACTCAACACCAGCCTTTGCATTCTTGGTCCTACCACCATACTCGATTAGACACGAGGAATGCCACTAACATCTCTCTATTAATGGCAGGAACTGTACCCCTTGGCAGGAAGAAGGGATGCTTGGAAATCCAATTTCAAGCCCTTTGCAATAGTGTTATCAAGTTCAAGTTGAGCACCAAGAATGTTACTGGTGGTCCACGATTCCGTAAAAGTGACACCTTTGTGGAATAACGGGCGATTAGAAAGCCCTATACGAATGTGATCGTTGACGGCACGTACCACGGAGCTTGTCGGTGTATTTTGTTTTCAGTTCACTGGCAATTGCGCCGGTCTTGTTATCTTTCGTCCCCAACACGGTGAATTTCTGTGGCAACCGACGCAACATCAGGCTAGGTAACGTTTCGAGATATGTAGCATAGTGCCTAGTCACATACAATGCCATTGGAGGTTGTGGTGTTAACTTCAAGCTTGGCCGAGCCCACCGGGAAGTCCTTGCCCAACAAATCGTTGGTGGTCTTGCCGATGTCAGAAAACGCAGGGGGTACGTTGGCCATTTTATAGGTTCTACGCGAGGAGAACCAGACAATGCGAACGTTACGACACCGTCAGGGTTTGCGTAGCTCGGACGATCGACAAGGAAACATAAGTACCTACCGCAATTTCTCGACGGGGAAGGTTGTCCGTTAGATGTGGTAGATGAGTTGGTCGACCGTGGTCAGTTACCGGTCACATTGTCCTCTGATATTAAGTCATGTTTTTTAGATGACGTCATCTATCATCGTATCCTTGGCAACGGAGGACGCACGTGGGTTTCAAGCAAGCGATGCGAGTTGAGTAATCAAAGGTTCAGCAACAACCAAAATGCAAGAATCTGAACATGCTCCTCTGCACGTTGGCACTTTGCATCTCTGCAAAAGCTCCAGAGGCTCAACCTGTACGTCTACGAATTCTTTGTTTGTTCTTATACTTGGCTGGATTGTAAATATCAAAAATATGTAATAAACGTCACGTTCAGATAGAGCAAAAATTCTGGATAAGCGGGAGGGAAACTTTCCGAATACGTGTGAATACTATGTTCATTATTGCGACTGTAAGTATGGTATGCATTTGACGTGCTCACCGCACTCGAATGGATACTATCTGACGCACTAAGCTAACATCGCAAAAAATAGATGACGGTCGACTGGATGAGTGGGTAAGTGGGGATCGTCTACACGAGGAAGAGCTAGCCGACGAGGCAGCCGAAAACTCGCGATATGGGAACGATTTGGACGGTTCTCATTATAATGACGGCCGCAAAATGACGCGCAACACGAAGCGGAAGCATAAGGAAGGCAACAACAAGGTACGCGCTCTCACCCTGCTCAGATGATCATGAGGATGCTTTGTTACCAGTCTTTTCTCCTGCAGAATCCACATGCTCTCTTCAATGAGACTGAGCCAGAATGCGAGGAGCGGCCAAAAATCAAGAATATCGACATTCTTCAGTTCGGTTCGGTTTTAATGACTCCTTGGTATTTTGCACCGTATCCTGCTGGAGAGAATGGGCAATGGAGAGCTTTGTATGTCTGCGAGTTTTGTTTTAAATACATGAAGTATTCCAAATCCATAACATGGCACAGGGTGGGTTCCACCTTCTTTACCCATTGAGCAAATTGGAACGTCAGGTAGCATACTAACGTGATCCAAATGATAGTCGCATTGTAAACGACGCAAGCCTCCTGGACAAGTAGTCTATGCAAAAGAAAGACTTCGGATTTATGAGGTCGACGGGAAAGCGGAGAAGGTTGATCTTGTTTTTTCTAGTCACCGCATTTGCTATGAGTCTCATCATGAATGAGACCCGCATTCATTGGTCTTAGCTTTACTGCCAGAACCTGTGCCTATTGTCGAAGCTCTTTTTAGATCATAAAACGGTCTATTACGACACGGAGCCTTTTTTGTTTTACGTACTTACGGAATCAGAAGTAATGAAGACGGACGTCGATCATGCTATGGGATATTTCTCTAAGGTTCGAAAAAGGAACGAATATCCAACCTGATTCCAAGTATTAGACTTTCGTGTCACCTCAGGAAAAGCAATCATTTGAGTCCTTCAATTTGGCCTGCATTCTCATACTGCCGCCGTACCAGAGGAAAGGGTATGGTCGATTGCTCATAGAATTTAGCTATGAGCTCTCGAAGCTGGATGGAAAGATCGGATCTCCAGAACGCCCTTTGTCAGATCTAGGTAAGTAATCCATTTATGATCCTTTTGATATTTTTAACCAAAATGTTGGCAGGTCTTGCTGGTTACAAATCATATTGGCAGGCGGTCTTAGTTGATATTCTGTTAAACAACACCTCTACGAAATGCTCCATAAATGAGCTAGCGCGATTGACCAGCATGGATGAAGAAGATATCATTTTCACCTTAGACACTATGAACTTGCTACGATTCTGCGACGTCTCCCATACAATTTGGTAAGCAATATTAAGGTACTGTTCACGGACGTTACTGTTGGTCCTGATGATCCTTCTTGTAGCATCACACCAGTCATGTTGGAAGAGTTTCTCAGGAGCAGCAAGACGAAGTGGGAAAGATCCGTCGATCCAGAGTGTGTCAACTATGTCCCTCTAGCAAACCGTTGAACATTTGTCATATCCATGAGATGCCATTGTGTAAGATTACAAGATGCTCTATTGTATGCAAAATCTATGCGTGGGGTGTCTGTTACTGGGCCGTCTTCTTCTCTCGATTGTGTGCAGCTTGCCGAATCAATGCCTCGATGAAGGAATGTTGCTGCGCGTTCAAGGCCTGTCTGACGAGAGACGCTGACTCCGGGTTCCCCGCCAGCCGCTGCATCGTCCTTTCAAATTGTGAGTACGCTTCAATATGGTCGAGCGGGGTGGTGAAGAATACATCTTCCTCTAATTCTTCCACATCCCAATCATCATCGTCATCCTCGAAAACGGCATCTTGCGCGGACCCATTTTGCCGACTCTCAGCGGCACTATGAGCCAACATTTCAAGATATTTATCGTCATCGTCGAGGACGTCACAATCATCATCTAATCGCTATGTTAATACTTCTATGCATCTGAATAACGATGCATTTAATGCCATTACCAGGTGCATCCGTGAAAAAGATCTCTGCGTCCTCATCTTCTTCCACATCCTGCTCGTCTTCGTCGTCCAGACCCTCGGCATACATTTTTTCTTCTGCTTCTCTTGCTACAAGTATATTAGACTCTATATAGAAACGTGCCGCGAAATCAAGCTACTCTACCTTGTATGGCTTCTGGATATGATTCAAACACCTGCAGAACACAAAGAAGAACCTGAGTCCAGCCGGGCCCCTGGAGGGATGGTGGAATTTGATTCAAAGGAAGGTCAAGGATTGCCAGAAGTGCTAGGATACACAATTTTTTGTCATGCACGCGCTTGAAATCACCAAGGTTCTTGAACCAGAACTCGAGCACGGCAGCTGTCGCCGCTTTTTGCTCTAGCAACACCAAGGTACCCGCCGGGTTATAGTAAATTCCATTGATCACCACTTCGAGGCATCGCACTTTAAACCCGGCTTTCTTAAGCCGACCGCTCTTTTGAATATAGGGAAGAGCCAATTCCAGGAAGCGTGGTACATACTGGCGCCAGAACTGTCAGTGTATATCTTCCTAGGGCTAATACAAGACTTGCACTAACCACGTCCACATGTCCACGGAGGTTGAGAAGGATAGCCTCTATCAGATCACAAGCACGGCTCCTATTTGTATCTGTGAGATGCTCATTATCCTCTCGTAGCACGGTCTGGATGATATCGTAGATCTGTTCTTGATGTTCCTTGCTCTGTGCGAAAGTTTCCTTGCCGAAGGACACGTAATTCTCCAGACAATTTGCCATCTCATCGATATAATCGACGGCATCGGTTTTGAACGCTTGATATATCAGCGGCCAGATGTCCCACATGACGCGCGAAATCGCCTTCGCACAAAATGTCGTCGTTTCGATGATATCAAAGGTTTCGTCGTACAAATCTAAGGTTAACGAAAATTTAGGAAACTTTGTTTCAAGACATGGTCCACCAAACGATCGAACATGTACCAATGACATTATGTTGAAGTACAAAAGTAAGCGCGGGTGCCACAATAACTTCCAGCTCTACGGATATCTGCGGGGATGCTTCCATAGCGAGCACCAGGGTACACAGTGTGCGTAGGACACCCTGTGCTGCCGCCGTCTTCTCTTCCAACGACTCGTCATATTCCATATCCTCGTTTTCAGTGCTAACCTCTGCCATCAAGCGGACGAAGGTATCGCGCTGAGAGAGATGATCAGATCAACAGAGGAAAAATAGACACTGAAGATCTCACCAGTTGGGTAGCAAGTTGAATAGCAAACGGCGCCAGCTCTTCGGAATAGTCCGCTACGAGAGTTTCTAAGACCTGTGTCAATGTTTCCATGTCCACCTCGTTCGTCAGGTTCATTAGGGCTGACAAAAAGTAAATACAAAATCAGTGGTCGAGATTTAATTGGATCATTATCACTAGACGTGGGCTACCTTGAATAATACTTTGAACGTGTGGTTTCATTGCTTCATAGACTGTTCCATGTTTAGTTCTCGATGTGACCCATCGATGCCCAAGCCAATCCGATGTACTTACTCATCGGGATTTTTAGATATATCCGCAGAGCTAGGGCCGCTGACACTCGGACGGGTAGGTCTGAGTCGACAAGGCAGTCGAGAACTCCTCGGAAAGCCATCTGCTGGTTCCCTTCATTCTCAAACACGAGACCCTCGTAGCTTAGCAATGTTTCGCATGCCTGTTGCAAGGAAAGAGTTTACATATGGGACTATCCACATGCATGAGCAGGCACGGAAAATATGCACACATACCCGCGCGCGCAAGAATGCATGACTGCTCTTCAATTCCGGTAATACATGTGTGACAATAAATTGCTCAAGATGTCCTTTGATGGGGGATTTCTATAGTGCGGGAAGCAGTTATGAATTTGAAGCACCAATGCCGAGAAATTAATATTACATTATCTAGTGCCAACGGAGCAAGACATGACATCATCTTTAGAGCTCCATCCTTATGACGAGGGTTCCGCTGCTCCTGGGAAGTTTCTTCATACCTAGTGTTCAACAATAAGCCCGTGACGAGGGATGTTCAATAGCTTTATCATGTTGCTCTGCTTACCTGGCGATAATCGTGTTTATAAGGCTCACAATGGGCACAAATGTTTTAGATCTAAGCTTCGCGATATCGAAAAGCAACGTCTCCACTGCGTGAACCGGACTTCGAAAATCTTCGAGAGGATTGTCGATCTTCTTATGGACGTACTCTACCGGATCTGTATTCCATAGTTCCTCATCCTCTTCGTTGAAGCACAAAAGCGGGAAGACAAATTGCAAAATAATGGCTTCCAGATGGGGTTTGATGATATTCCAGGTTCCTACCGGTTTCACGCTGGTTGCCAATGGTCAGCCTGCTGTTGGTAGATGACCACTCACTATCTCGTGACAAACCATTTAGTGACAAAATCCGCGAGGTGCTGTTTGACTCTTGCAGACATCCAGACCCCCGATACCAATTGCTCGATCTGCTTCATGTATACATTGAGAATGTTTGGCGCAAAATGCTCCATAAACACTATAGAGAAACTATGGTATGCTTTCTCGGGCTTCCGGCCATATCTACTGGGAGATAAGTAACCCGCTACCGGCCAGAGCTGTAAAATGATCGCTTACCGTTCAAACAAGGTGTTTAAGCAGCTATACGCCCATTTCTTAGCTTTCCACCACGGATGTTTTTCGCGCTCCAATGCATCAGCGGGCATGGCGGGCATGTCAATGGGCAGCGTTTTCTCAATGACTTGCACGAATAGTGTGCCCCAAGGAACCAAGGATGACGACTCTTGCTGAGTCTTTGAAAGTGACATCTATCAAATTACAGAAGTTGAATGTGTGAGTAGTAGTGCACTGGGCGCGTCCAGCACACACTGAACAGCTATCACACCCTAATGGTTGCATTGTATGTTTTCAAGATCGTCTTTAACATATCTCCAGCTTCAACATCGGTCAAGGGTACGAGTCTGGTTCCCACTGAGTGCAGTATTGGCAGCCCCCTTTCGATAAGCTCGTCCAAAAACTGCCGCTTTTCAGGTTTCGCCCATCTGTTGTACGAGCACGATGAGCTCTAATAATTTCAGGCATGGCTCATTCACTTACTGAAAACACTTGACGAATTCTTGCACAGCGGCGAGGCCTCCGTACACCGACGCTTGATCCTGAGCTTGTACCATATTCATCGAGTCTTGAAGGAACTGCGGCCAAAGGCCTTGGGCATAATCGTACTGCAGCATGCGACCCAGACAGGTGATCAACTGTACTCTTCAACGGTAGCCAGGACAGTTGTTTAGAAATGTCACCAATAGTGTCAGAAGGCCAGCAAACATGGGTGATATCAACGTTTTACCATCTCATCAGAGTTTCAAATACCAACCTTATGTTAGCTGGAAGCTCTACTATTGCTCGAAGTATGTGCTGCCGCACAAATAGCTTATCCCCTTCATTCACAGGCTTTTTGCTTTCAGGATCCCAACCTCGCTGGAGTCGATTCTTGAAGTAAATTGCAGCTTGGGTGATAAATCGCTTAGGGTTGTGTATGGTAAAAAGACAAGTTCAGTCGTCAGGACGGTACCTGCTTGACGCACGGCAACATTGGCATCAGAGGTTCCCAAAATTTGCAGGACGCCAGGCAGAAATCCTACGGATTCTTCTGCCTTACGCAATTCAAGTTCTGCCTGCATTCGAACATTATGGTCAGGATGCACAGTAGCCTCGAAGAGTCGATAAAGCACGCCGGCGTCCATCTTTGCCAATGGGCGATTCTTCAGTTCCAAATGTGACTGCGAGTGAAATTGGAAATTGGTCGACAAAAAAAATTATACCGCGTGTGTCACGATGTTCAACGTTCACCCCAGACCAATGCTGGTAATAAACCTTTTAGCACCAGAGTTCGCTGGTTAATGTAGGGTATACTGCAGTGCGCAAATACATTGGAACTGAATGAAATAAAGGGAACGGTAACGGCAAGCTTGTTGGCAATAACAGTTTGAGTAATTTTTGTTCGGTCCCAACCGTATTACGTGTATATCTCAGCCATTATAAGCACTATGAGTGCGGTCCAGCCCGTAAAAGGATGGGATCGCTTTCCAGTCCCGTCGATAGAGGAGTACTGTTCCCAGACATATCCGGTACGGCGGTATTCCTATAACAATGTTCAGATACCTTAGCTTCGACGGGAACAGACGCGGTCATCATCAAACGAATACCTTAAAAACATTCTCTATTAGGTTCCTGCGCAGCTCGCGGTATATACGTTGCGCCCTTTCCTGGTGGGGTCCAGGTTCATGAATATAGTTCTAAATCGCAGGAATCAACATTAACTAACGTACAACAGGGGAGCGTGCCGATATCATATCTACCTTGTATAAGCTGGAAAGCGCAAGATAGTTGATATTTATCCAAATTGGCCCACGCCAATAATTTTCCCCTGTGTTGTAGTATTCATCATCTTTGCTTAAGGATGCTAATCCGAACGGAGTCCACAAGTGTCTTGGATCTTCCATCAAGTCTAAAACTGACCCCAAATATGGGGAATCCGGACCAAGGAGACCAAGAAGAAGCGGGAACAAGCTAACGTAGCCCTTGTGAACCACGTAATAGGAACGGCCTAATTGGAGGAAAGGAGTGAGGTGGGAACGGCGATTGGTAGTATCACACGATATAACCTTTCTCATCGATTGACAAATCACAGAATGTCTTGGACGCTGGATTCCAATGCAAATCTGTATGAAAAGGTACTTCAGTATCCCGATACCGCACATAGGAAATGCCGGTACCTTCTAAGCTTTGCAGCATACGTCTCTCGTCCTCGAAGAGCAGACCTGTGTCCTCTTTTTCACCGATTTCCTGGGCAATTTCTTTCAGTGTTCTTGCGTAGAACGCCATCCATGAAAGGAGGTCTACGTGTAATTCCCCAGAATGAGGAAGTACGGCCCTGGGGTAATCATCCAATCCTTAAACCCGATACTAGCGCATTAACAAACTCTCCACGCACATGGATTTCGTCAATAGAATATTTACCACTAGTTAAAGTATGAATTCCCTGTCGACCGCGCCAGCGATATCCCTCTCCTCCCCGAGCTTTGCGGCCGCCAACTCTCTCATCACCCCACTGCGTTTCGCGGAACCATTCGTACTGCTTCTTAAACCTCCTGTAAATGTCCCGCAAAAACGACATGGCGAGCTCTTTGTCCAGAAGGTGGCGATTTATTACAACATTGATATCAGTGGCAGCCACGCTGCGCAAACCACCTAGAAGCGAAAGCTCAATCTCTTCAAGTTGTTTATTCTTTTGTGCAATAATGGAGTAACTTTACCTTCCTGCAGCGCTTGAGATTGAGCGCGTAAACGCTCCATGAAGGCTTTAATACTCATAACGAGGGTGGGAGGATTCGCGAAGTGGGGATATTGGGTTTGGAATTCAGCAGGCACCTGTACTTGATTTACTATCTTGAACCGGACCATGTAAAGTCAATATTTGAACGATACCTTGCTCCGTGCTTCTTCTCCCAATATCTGCTCACGTGCAACCCATCCGTCGTCATCTATGAGGGCTGCCCAGTGGGCAACGACATCCAGGCTACCAGAGATAGGATAAGTTGTGACAAAGAGAACCACCGCTACAATGATGTGACCGACCTCAAGTCATTATCCCATTGGCCTATAAGCAGTTGATGGAAACCTTCGTCCCTAATCAATAGGATTAGATGCAGAATCGTAGACGTCAGCTGGTTCGTTATATTACCAAAGAAACCCCCTAGGGAAAAAGGGGCGGCTAGGTACGGCTGTGAACAACGAAGTTGGACCTTCATGTTGAGGTGCGGGCTGCGGTCCTGCCGTTTCCAGCATGTCGGCGTCGAAGTAGTCGTCTGACAAGTCATCCATCTCCTGAATGTAGTCTACCGGCTCTGTCACATCGACCTTTTTAAGGGCCCTGTCGACAATGCTTGTGCCGTAGAAATATCTAAAGCCTCGACGAATTAGATGACACAAGTTTTAACATATTCAATTTATTGCAGCCACTTATCGGTGGCAAGCATATCAACCTACCCAAGACCCCCAATCATATTACCCAGCAACGACTGTGCAAAAGCAACCTGCGTGTCATTGAACCCTTTCTCATATAGACGAAAAGAATCCTCAAAACGAGAATCGAACTTTTGAGAGGCGGAGTTCAAAATGCCGTTCAAAACTGCGCCGGAGAATCGATCGGCTAATGACCGAACCAAGGCGTCAAAATCAGCCGTGCTTACTGTTCAGTCATTAGTCTTACCATCTGCAGCATTGGGACTCCCTCCATGAGATCTGGCAGATTTAGAGAGGAAAACTACGTCGAACTGGAGGGTGATGTTCAGCAGTGTCAAAATTGATGCTCACGAGCGGATATACCTGAAATGGTGGTTTCAGAATTTTTTGGAATACATATACATTGCAGCTGGATGCTGGCCGATCTTCCAGGAAGAAAACGTGGGCAGGATGTGGAGGTGGATCCCGGTACTTTAAGAGTTTCTCTTGTGCATCTGATAAAATTCGGCGCTGAACGGCATCTTGGACCAAGGCAGGTCAGCAAGCAGGTGAGTCCTTCCCAGGTGATCCTCAACGGACCTTTTATTTGCCAGATGTGTTCGCTGGGCAGGTCGAACCCTGCCACGTGCGTTTCAGAAAGATCTGGAAGATCGTAGGTCGACGGATACGGACCGCCCCGCGGCGATCGATTATCAGGATCTGTTATTTTACTTGGTCATTGTGGCAACACTGCTTGCAAAAGTAATACATACGGTCGACAATGGTCACCGCAAACTCCCCCAGCTCTCTAGTTTTGCCTCGTAAGAATGTTGGCTACGTTAAAATGAGACAGGTAACAGTATAATCTTGAATGTCAGTGCCTTTGATGAAAAAGACAACTACTGTCGCCGAGTAGCCTCTGAACCATATGCTTCACAAACCTCCGAACCTGACTGCTCCAGATTCATTTCACCCTCCCCATCCATTCCAATGTAAAAGAGTACTGATATATCTGAATCTGATATTTCTTGAAAAAATAACATTACGATAACTTCTGTTGACGGATGTCCATTAAAGAACTCACCAGAATCTTCCAAAGCACTGCCTGTTACACGGACAACCCAATCGCCCCCTATGCACGAGAAAACTCAGACTCGAATTCGCTCTGTATTCAACAAAGTCAATACTACGAACAGACCATGCTCCCCTTCAGGGTTTTTGATAAAATCGGTTTGGATGATGATGTGATTGAGCGGATCCCGAATGCCTTGTGTACCATATGTCCGACCATCATGCTTTTGCCAGGAGTAACCAGATAGGCCATCGCCCTGCTCGCACGTATGTCTTATATCTGAGTCGCTTGCCGATATGAGAAAGCGTGTTTTGTACAGAATCACGTGTATAATAGCCGTACTGTACTTTGTATGGTTGCGGGTGATATCTCGTTAACACCATACCACATTAGACCAGTCAACAAGGTATTCGGACTTCGCGTACGAGTACCAACTGCAATTGAACGGCAGCTTTAGCGGGACATGTAGAATTGCGTTTTCGACCATAGACTTACAATACAGGTTTGGTCTATAGGTGCCCCAGTATAGCGACTGGTTTGCAGCTGCCTGAGCATTTGCGGTATGCCATGCGTCTTCCGCCTTAACTCCTAGAGCAAGTGTTCCCAATAAAAACCCTATGAGTGCATTCCTTAGTTGAACTGTCACGAAGGAATGGATGTGTTCGCGCATCGAGATCATGATTGGGAAACGTCCCATGTAACAGTCAGTCGTCTCTGGCTGTGGTGTGTGGCTGGGCGTTCAATGACTACGCCACTCAACATTGAATTGTTTTTGTTGAAATGCAACTGCAGGTCAAATTGGTCCTTGCCTCAACCAATGGACAATCCAACGAAGGCCCACCGACCGCGGCAGTCAGGCCCGAAAGCAGAGAAGAAAAACAAGTCTAAGAAGAACGCCGAAAAGAATAACCCACAGGTAAGTTTACGTCTAGTGGTATCGAACGATGTCACCCTTTCGCCAACTTCGTTGCCGCTGCTTTGGGGAACAGGCGTTCGCCTCATTCTCCGGAAAGAAGGCCGATCGTATTATCAGAAGGAACCTCGATAAGGAGCAGCACAAGCTACATGTCCCGCTTGTAGATCGCACGCCGCTCGAGGCCCCGCCTGTGGTTGTTGCAGTCGTCGGGCCTCCTGGAGTAAGTGCTCCAATATCTGGTCACTGCAGGATTTGTTTTGGCAGGTCATCATTGAAATCCCGGTTTTAGACAGGAAAGACAACATTGATCAGGTCTCTTGTCAAGCGGTACACGAAGCATAATTTGGCAGATATTAAGGGCCCGATCACTGTCGTTAGCGGCAAACATCGAAGGCTCACTTTCATCGAGTGCAACAATGACGTAAATTCAATGATAGATATTGGTAAAATTGCAGATTTGGTCCTTCTGCTAATTGACGCGAGCTTTGGGATGGAAATGGTAATAGCAGGTGGACATACGATTCTCGATTGACATTATCTTACATCAGGCTTTTCCACCAGGAAACATTTGAATTCTTAAACATCTTGCAAGCTCACGGGTTTCCGAAGGTGATGGGAGTTTTGACGCACTTAGATAAATTCAAAGACAATAAAAGGCTGCGGAAGACTAAAAAGCGCTTGAAACATCGCTTTTGGACCGAGATCTATCAAGGAGCTAAGCTTTTTTATCTATCCGGTTTGATCAACGGGCGATATCCTAAGAACGAGATTATGAACCTCTCCCGATTCATATCGGTTATGAAGTTTCGTCCGCTGGTTTGGCGAAATGCCCATCCCTACTTGCTTGCAGATCGTGTTGAGGATCTAACGGACCCAGAAACAGTACGTGGTAACCCCAAATGTGATCGAACCGTGTCGGTATATGGTTACGCGAGGGGAACAAATCTCAAACCTACACTAAAGGTTAGGTCCTTCGTGATTGGTTATTCGGTTGTTTACGGGAGTGTAACCGTTCATCAATGTTGCCTCGCTAGGTGCATATTCCTGGAGTTGGTGACCAAAATATCGCGGATATCACCTTGCTGCCTGATCCCTGCCCTATACCTGACAAAGTTCGGAAGACACTTAATGACAAGCACAAGCTCATCTACGCCCCCATGTCCGATGTTGGTGGAATCTTGTACGATAAAGATGCTGTATATATCAATGTCCCTGGAACTTTTTCCAGGAAGACGGAAGGAGATGGAGCAGACATTGATAGTAGGGATTGACACTGACAATTCGCTATGAAGACAATGCCTAACCAAAGTTCCCTTAACAGGTGATGCCGGTCAAGATCCAGGAGAACGCATGGTGATGGATCTGCAGAATGCGTCGCTGACCTTTGCCGACAAGATGCGGCAGAGCGAACTGCGAATCTTCCAATCATCCGCTAGCGTGCGCGGTTACCAAGAAAGCGCGCCATGGAGGGAAGGGAAAGAGGATAGTCAGGACGTCACGTCCGAAGAATCCGACGATGGAGACCCTGAAGAAATTTACAGTGCAGGAGAAAGTAGTGATGAGAATGAGGACTCGGACCATGTGCTAAGCGATTCAGAAGAGAGCGACTTGGACAACACCACTGCATCCTGCGATGGTCGAGTTCGACGACGGCTCTCGACAAAGTTGCTTGGGGAAGATACACAGCCAGCGTTCGAACCAGATGTGGCGTTTGCCGATTCGGACAGTGACCTGGATAGCGAAGAGCTGTACGAAGATGGAAGCGGTTCGATGAGGTGGAAAGAGAGAATACTGGAAAGAGGAAAGCATGCCTTTTCTGCCAAGCGCCGTGTCAATCTTATGGACCAGGTGTACATTCAGAATGAAGGATCTGACTTGCTATCGGTTGGTTCGGTCGATCCTGAAGTTGCAGACGAAGGGGGCTTGTTCCACGTTAGAAAGGCGGTGCACACAGACGAACGATCCCTTGCTTTGGTAGACACTTGCAAAATCGAAGTCGGTCTACAGTCACGGATAGACTCTCCTCATGATGAGTTTCTTTCCTCTATACGCACCCGTTTCGTTACGTCGCAGTCTAATCCCGTCAGTGACATGAATCCGGTCGTGGGAGATGAGGAAGAAATATATGGTGACTTTGAGGATCTTGAGAATGGGGAGAATATCGAAATCCCTCATGGAAGCGATGAGCAGCCCACCCACGTAACACCGGCAGGTGACATGCTTTCTCTAGCAAAAAAGAAGGAAGAGCTCAAGCGGAAGTTTGATGCTGAGTATGACGGCAGCGACGATGAGAACAATTCCAACAACGTGTATGAGAGCGTAAAAGAGGATCTGTTGAAACAGCAGGAGATCAACCGAGAAGAATTCTTAAATGAGGATCCACAATTGAGAGCGCAGTTAGAGGGGTATCGGCCTGGCAGCTATATCCGAGTGATTCTCCATGACGTACCTTGTGAGTTGGTGGAAAATTTCGATCCCACATATCCGGTTGTCGTCGGAGGATTGTTACCATCTGAAGAGAACTTCGGCTTCATGCAAGTGAGTTTTAAGAGAAATTCCGTTGAATCTTAAAATGTAGGCAGTTCTGACGTCGATCTTCATCTTAATAGGTGCGCATCAAACGCCATCGCTGGCATAAGAAAATTCTGAAGACGAATGATCCGCTGATCTTCTCTCTTGGGTGGAGACGATTTCAAAGTATACCCATATATTCTTTGAATGATGGAACGCGCAACAGGATGCTGAAGTACACCCCAGAGCACATGCATTGTCTGGCGACCTTCTATGGTGAATAAGTACTCTTGGCACTTATAGGGAAAAAAATAATTAAAGACAGTTACCTGTAGGACCAATCACCCCACCGAACACTGGGTTTTGTGCTTTCCAATCAATATCAGAAAACATGGTGCGACGCAAAACGTGATGGTCGTTGTTGTTTAGGAAACTATTGTCTTACAGTGTTTCTAGTCAGCATTTCGTCTGAGTGCTACGGGCGTGGTACTGGATGTTGACAAAAGCACGGAAATCGTGAAGAAGTTGAAACTGACTGGCACGCCTTCAAAAGTGTTCAAGAACACCGCTTTTATCAAAGATATGTTTACAACGGGATTGGAAGTGGCAAAATTTGAAGGGGCGAGTATTCGAACCGTTAGTGGGATTCGCGGACAGGTTAAAAAACATGTTGGGGTGAGTTACCAAGGGTGTGTACCCGTATCGGGATCGCTCTTGACCAACCCATTATCGCAGAATCCGGAAGGGACCTTCCGTGCTACTTTTGAAGACAAGATCTTGATGAGTGGTACGGTCATAAGAATGCGTATCCATTTTGTCTGATGCTAACTTCTCTGCTTTCCAGATATCGTTTTCCTTCGTGCATGGTACCCAGTGAAACCGAAGAAGTTCTATAATCCTGTGTCTTCCCTGCTGCTTTCGCAGAAGGAGGTGTGGACAGGAATGCGTACCGTGGGTCAATTACGACGGGACGAAGGAATGCGAACTCCAGTCAATGCTGACTCGAGATACAAGGTTGGCCATTCGGATCTCCCCGCTGAGAAGATTATATTCATGCTCACTACTATTAATCATAGCCCATTGAGCGACAAGCGCGCAAATTCAACAAACTGCGCATACCGAAGACGCTTCAAGCTGACCTACCCTTTGCATCCAAACCGAAGCATATGAAAAAGCAGAGTAAACCCTCCCTTCTCGCACGACGGGCCGTGGTTCTTGAGCCGCATGAGAAGAAGGTGGCAAATCTTCTGCAGGCTCTCAATACCATCCATAAGGCGAAGGATCAAAAGCAAAAAGAGAAAAACGCGGTCAAACGCCAACAGTACCTGAAGAAAAAGGAAATCGATGACCAGGCAACAGCACATATACAGAAGGAACGCAGAAAAGACTTCCACCGAGCTGAGGGGAAAAAGCGGATGCGCGAGGTTACTGTTGCTGAAAAGGCAATGCATAAGAGAGCAAAGGTTAATACATGATTGATAGCATGTGTTGTTGGCTGTGTGCTCAGATATGTATCCTAATGTTAGAGTAACTTTAATGATTGTAAATACTTACTTGGGTGTGTTGTGACCCCTGTGGCTTTTAAGGATTATATTAGTGGGATAGGAGCTGTTGTCCCTATCATTTGGTGAAAGTAAATTGTATGCACAGAGCAGCCACTACTGGTACCAATATGGATATAAGGAATAACCTATAGTAGTAATTATTGAACTTAGCACTTGGAACACTGATTTCTCATGTAGAAATCACTTCTGAAAGGCCTAGAAATGCCTGTGACCACTAGTAAGACTTCTGGGTGCAGTAACTTGTAGGATAACACACTTGTATTAATCCTGAGATGTTCAAAAGTCCCCTTTATATAACCCAGTACATTCTCCAGCCTCTCTCTGCCTTTGTTTGCTGTTTACATGCTTCCGCCCACTTGTTTACATGCTCGGCCATGCTCAGCAATGCTCAGCAGCTTCAGCCATGCCTTGGCAAACCTTACCTGAAGATCTAGACCATCACAAACCTTCCAGACCTTCTAAGAGTGCTTACATGATGATTTACCCCTTTAAATCATTCCCACACACATCTGTGATCATTCTGATTACTCTAAGTCCAATTCCCCATGTTGTAACTCAGCCAAATCAGATGTGAACTGTCTCATGACATCCCAGTATGATCTCACATGATTTATAGATCAAACAGCATGGTTTAAGCCTGAATCTCAACACACCAGAGCAGAATGGTGTTGCTGAGAGGATGAACAGGATGCTGGTGGAAATGGGAAGGTGCATGCTGCACCACAGTGGAGTTAGCTACAAGTTCTGGGGTGAGGCAATCATGACAGTGGTCTATCTCAGGAACAGGAGCCCCACTGCAGCACTCAGCAACCAATCAACACCATTTCAAGAGTTTACAGGTGGTAAACCAGATTTCCAGCACCTCAGAGTGTTTGGCTGTGTGGCCTACACTCATATTCCAAAGGAAAAGCAGTCAAAACTTGATGAGAAGGCCAAGAAGGCAGTCATGGTCAGCTACAGCACTCAGAGTAAGGCCTACAGACTGTGCGTACCTGAAATGAACCAAGTTGTCATTTCAAGGGACATCATCTTTGACAAAAACTTGATGTGGAGCACTCAGCAGCAGCTGCAGAGTGTACCACAGCAAGATCAGGAGCTACAGATGCCTCTGGGAGGGGAGCCTTCGTTCTTGGACAACCAAGAAGGGCTAGGGATGGTTCAAGAGACTCAGAGCCCACCTAGCATCACTCCAGACAACTCTTTAGCATCAGAAGATGATGGAGACGACTTCCAGGATGCTGAGGAAGTGCCAGAGCTCAGCAGGAAGAGTGCCAGATCCCACAAACCACTGGGAGAGTGGTGGATTGCAAAGCCAACTCAGTCAAATCTGGCTTTTGTCTTCACCATTGGGGAAGTTCCACAGGAAGAACCCAGCACTCTGGCTGAAGCTAGGACCAGACATGATGCCAAACAGTGGGAGGCAGCTGTCAAAGCAGAATTTGACCCTCTGATGGAGAATCAGACTGTTGAGTATTGAGATCAGGCTTACACCACACTGTATGATCTATAAATCATGTGAGATTATGCTGGGATGTCATTAGACAGTTCACATCTGATTTGGCTAAGTTACAACATGGGGAATTGGACTTAGAGTAATCAGAATGATCACAGATGCAGGTGGGAGTGATTTAAAGGGGTAAATCGCAGTCTTAGAAGGTCTGGAAGGTTTGTGATGGTCTAGATCTTCAGGTAATGTTTGCCAAGGCATGGCTGAAGCTGCTGAGCATTGCTGAGCATGGGAAGTTCATGACCCATCTGGCTTGTCTTCTGGTCAAGAAGGGCAGGTGCTGTAGCCACTTGAGGGACTGGTGGTCTGAGATAACTTTGAAGGGGGTTCCTTCCAAGTAGGGCCTCCAAACTCTGAGGGCATCATGGATGGCTAACAGCTCTTGTTCTCTGGTGTCATATCTGGTCTCTGCTGGGGCCATCTTCCTGGAGTGGTAGGCAACTGGTCTCATGCCTTTCCCATCATCCTGTCCAAGCCATGCACCAACTGCATAGCCTGAGGCATCAGGGAAGACAGTGGTAGGCAAGGCTGGGTCAAAGGGTCTGAGTACAGGGGCTTTGGTGACCATATCCTTCAGCTGCTGAAAAGCTTTCTCCTGAGGTTCAGACCAGGTCCAGGGCTTGTCATTTCTCAACAGGTCTGTCAATGGTGCAGCTTGCTCTGCCAGGTCCTTCAGAAAACTATGGAAGTAGTTCACCAGGCCCATGAACTGTCTGACTTCAGTGACACTCTGGGGCTTGGGCCATTATTGAACAGTCTGCACTTTCTTGGGGTCAAGCTTGACTCCTTCATGTGAGACTACATGGCCAAGAAACTCTACTTCTTGCTTGAAGAACTGGCACTTGCTGGGGTTGGCATACAGCTTGTTCTTATTGAAACTTCGCGCTTGGAACACTGATTTCCCATGTAGAAATCACTTCTGAAAGGCCTAGTTATGCCTGTGGCTGCTAGTAAGACTTCTGGGTGCAGTAACTTGTGGGATAACACGCTTGTATTAATCCAGAGACATTCAAAAGTCCCCTTTATATAACCCAGTACATTCTCCAGCCTCCCTCCGCCTTTGTTTACTGTTTACATGCTTCAGCCCACTTGTTTACATGCTCAGCCATGCTCAGCAGTGCTCAGCAGCTTCAGCCATGCCTTGGCAAACATTACCTGAAGATCTAGATCATCACAAACCTTCCAGACCTTCTAAGAGTGCTTACATGATGATTTACCCCTTTAAATCATTCACACACGCATCTGTGATCATTCTGGTTACTCTAAGTCCAATTCCCCACGTTGTAACTTAGCCAAATCAGATGTGAACTGTCTAATGACATCCCAGCATGATCTCACATGATTTATAGATCATACAGCGTGGTTTAAGCCTGAATCTCAACACTCCCACTCAGTGAATCATCTGATTTCCAACAGAGACCCATTTTACCACAAAGTTTAAGGTGTTTTGTCTTGGGTAGAGCCTTGGTGAGAATGTCAGCCATCACTTCTTCTGTCTGACAGTACTTGAGGCTGATTTTCTTGTCTTCTACTGCTTGTCTGATGAAGTGGTGCCGCACATCAATATGTTTGGCCCTTGCATGATGTGTTGGGTTGTTGGCAAGTGCCATGGCGCCCTGATTGTCACCATACAATGTTGTAGGACCACTTTGCTGATGTCCTAGCTCGCCTAGAAGTGTTCTGAACCAGATAACTTCCTTGGTAGCTTGACAAAGAGCCATGTACTCTGACTCTGTTGATGATAGAGCGACTGTAGGTTGCCTCTTGCTTTGCCAGCTGACTGTGCTGTTGCCAATCTTGACTAAGAAGCCAGTGGTAGACTTCCTGAAGTCCAAATCACCGCCCCAATCTGCATCAGAGTATGCAGATAGCTCCCACTTGCTCTGAATGCCGCCCAGTTGGAGTCCTAGGTCTGTGGTGCCATTCAGGTACCGCATGATCCATTTGACTGCTATCCAGTGCTGATGTCCGGGGTTGGAAAGATACTGGCTAACTGATCCAACTGCTGCTGCTATGTCTGGTCTGGTGCCCAGCATTGCATAAATGAGACTTCCAACAGCACTTCTGAAAGGAACCTCGTTCATTTCTTGCTGTTCTGCCTCAGTTTGTGGTGACATGGCCTTGGTGAGCTTCTGGCCATTCTCTAGTGGTGTGGCAACTGGTTTGCTGTTGCTCATATTGAATTTCTTCAATGTTTGACCGAGGTACCGCTGTTGGGAGAGCCAGATTGACCTGTTGGCTCTGTCCCTGACCACTTGGATGCCGAGAAAATGCTCTAACTGGCCCATATCAGCCATCTTGAACCGCTTCTTGAGTTCTTCTTGTTGAGATTCAGGCTTAAACCACGCTGTATGATCTATAAATCATGTGAGATCATGCTGGGATGTCATTAGACAGTTCACATCTGATCTGGCTAAGTTACAACGTGGGGAATTGGACTTAGAGTAACCAGAATGATCACAGATGCGTGTGTGAATGATTTAAAGGGGTAAATCATCATGTAAGCACTCTTAGAAGGTCTGGAAGGTTTGTGATGATCTAGATCTTCAGGTAATGTTTGCCAAGGCATGGCTGAAGCTGCTGAGCACTGCTGAGCACGGCTGAGCATGTAAACAAGTGGGCTGAAGCATGTAAACAGTAAACAAAGGCGGAGGGAGGCTGGAGAATGTACTGGGTTTGACGGCCACACCATCTTCCTGACGCACCTATCTTCTTCCCAACCTCATATTTGGACCACCTACCATACCAGGATGATTTCACCCCTTCCCCAACAACAAAATCCACTCACCAAATCAGCTCAGACATGTCAAGCACGGACTTGGACACCAAACTCATGATGGAAAAGTTCAATGGTGTGAACTACCACCTCTGGAAGTTCAAAATGACGATGTTGCTGAAGGAAAAGGGGCTGTGGGGTGTGATTGAGGGGGATGAGAGCATGGAGGGAACCTCTGAGAAGGATTGGAGGAGAAGGGATGAGCGGGCAATGGCTGTAATTGCTCTGTCACTGAGTGATGCCCAACTCATGCATGTACAGACCGCTGTAACTGCAAAAGAGGCCTGGTTAAAGCTCAGTGACATCCACCAAAGGAAGGGAATTGCCAGTAGGCTCTATCTGAGGAGGAAATTTCTCACTCTGAAGATGGAAGATGGCGCTGGGGGCATGCTGGGACACATAAACACGGTCAGGACAATGGCTCAGCAGTTGGAGGCCATTGGGGCGCCAGTCAGTGAAGAAGACCAAGTCATCACCCTACTCTACAGCCTACCAGAGAGTTATGAACAGCTGGTGGTGTCTTTGGAGGCCAGGAGTGATTCTCTGACGCTGGAATTCCTCACATCACGGCTTTTGCATGAAGAAACACGCAGAAAGGAAGCTGGGGGTGAAGGAGATAGCAAAGGGAAGGCCTTTTTCAGCAGGGATGGTGGGCAGAAGGTTGGCAAGCATGGTGGGACCAAGAAGATAGCAGGGAAGTGCTTCTATTGCAACAAGAAGGGTCACTTCAAGAAGGACTGCAGGAAGTTTCTGGCGGACACCAAACAACAAGCCAATCAAGCCAGCACCAGTCAGGCAACTCAGAAT